CAGTCTGTCTCCTAATGTCCATAATCTGTCTCCTAATGTCCATAATCTGTCTCCTAATGTCCTCAGTCTGTCTCCTAATGTCCATAATCTGTCTCCTAATGTCCATAATCTGTCTCCTAATGTCCTCAGTCTGTCTCCTAATGTCCATAATCTGTCTCCTAATGTCCATAATCTGTCTCCTAATGTCCTCAGTCTGTCTCCTAATGTCCATAATCTGTCTCCTAATGTCCATAATCTGTCTCCTAATGTCCTCAGTCTGTCTCCTAATGTCCTCAGTCTGACTCCTAATGTCCATATCCTGTCTCCTAATGTCCTCAGTCTGTCTCCTAATGTCCTCAGTCTATCTCGTAATGTCCATAATCTGTCTCCTGAAGTCCTCAGTCTGTCTCTTCTGTCCTCACCCTCTCTGCAGGAGACAGAGGTAGGCACTCTGCAGCGCCGCCTGCAGGAAGTATCCGAGGTCCACGTCGACAGCTGAGACTCCAGAACTGGTTTTGAAAGTTTTGCTGTGAGGAGTCGAGACCATCTGGGACACAAGTCAAATAAAAACAATCAATCAAAACTTTAAATCTTTTCACTGCAGTGAAATATAAATCAATCATCTGATTTATTCTGTTGTTTGAAAACATTTATTCAGATCAGGTCTCTCCTGTCCGACAGCTGGACTTTACCTGAACCCATTTAAACACACGTGCACATCACGTGCACATCACGTGCACATCACGTGCACTCTGTCTGTCAGAGGACACACCTTGTCGAGCTCCTGCAGGTAGGACAGAGCTGCGTCACAGGCTCTGAGGAAACAGGACAGACTCTCCTCCTCCCGCTCCGACAGACGGACACGAGACACAGAGGACACCGTCTGATGGTCCAGAGACAGACCTGACCAACAAACAACAAACAAACAACAACAAACAAACAACAACAAATAAAGTCCAGTGTTTTTGTGGAGGACAGCAGCTCCAAATTATTTAATAAAACCAGAATCAGAAACACGACATCATTTCCTGTCAGGAAACAAAGACCTAATGATGAGGAGACAAACCCAATTATCCAGAACCA